ACATGGAGAGGTTTTTACTCTTACTGATAGCTCTGCAATAATCTTTCTTTCCAGTGAACATCATTCATAATAAGTAATCTTACTCTAATATTTGGAGACATAAAACTAGAAAGACCTTTCTTGTTTTGTTGTTGGCTATTGTTTTAATTCTTTCATTTTATTATCCTTTATAACATATCATAACAAAGTATTATATCTTTCCTTTTAGAGTACTTCACCCGCCTTAAGTTTGTCCAGCAGTTACACCCCAAGGCTTTGTCCTTTGTCATTTGGTGAAGGTGTGGAATTTGATCCATTGCCACCCAAGGAGATAAGGTAATATATATGATAGCTTTTTTGTTGCATTGGTACACATTTACAAACGTGTCATTTATTTATTCAGCATTTAGCTTTCAAAATGATGTAAAATCCACATGGTTACTACAGGTAAAGGTTTTTGTATGATGTCTGATGACCATAAATTCAATGAAGGACCTGCACATAGTTAAGCTCTACCCAAGAGCAATATGACCACTTTGAGAATTTAGTGTTTTGTTGTGGTATTTGCAGTACAAACAGCTGAAATAACCAGATGTTTTAGTTTCAGATGGCAGAGTTTCCAGTAACAGCTGATTTAGTTAATAGTTAGCTGCAAAGTATACCTTTTGTTTTCACTCAATACTGACAAACATCTATTGTACAGGTCATGTGGCATAGACTGTTCACTGATGCAAATACATTCTCTGTAAATAGCTTTACAGCATTTATATGAACTTCCTCCTATACAAATTAACCCAAGACTGTGACATTCTCTTAGATAAATATGTGGGCCTAAGGTATTACACATAATGGGGGGAATTTTTTTATGCGTTTGTGACGAAACATTTAGGCGCAAACACCAAAATGTCATGCTAACTAACCGCAGAATTGTATCATGCTATGCATGTTGTTTTAAGTGTTCCTGCAACATATTAATGTTTGCAACTCACTGCACATGTTTTGCAAAATATTCAACTGCACAGTATTTGTGTCCAGCATTTGTGACAGTAAAAGACCTCCAAACAGACCCACATCCTAGAAGTGCTCCTAAACCCGCAAAGATGATTCATACCCTCAAGTCACCTGAGCACCTCAGGCTCTTCAGCTGTCATCCATGAGGTTCCCTGCAAGCTTGCGACAGTTTAGAGACAGAAAAATATAGAGACAATTTTGAGACAATTCTCCTTATGAAGGCATATAGGAATGAAACATAAACTAAGATAATAAATCTGTTGCTATATGCACTAGAAATGAGGGATATAACAGTTTGAGAGACCCTGATGATGCGACAACATTGATAAATTCCCCCCGTGTGTTTTGTTCACGTTGCAGGGCTGAGGTTATCACAAAAAAGTAAGTTTTGTGGCTCAAAGTGAATCTAAATCCTAACTGAACAACATTTAATTCTCTAAACCATTGTGTATTATAAACAACTGCCATGTTTTTTTTTTTTGCTTAACATAAAATAAAATAATAAAATAAATTAAAATACTATATTTTTTCATTATTTGCATCTCAGTGCTGTTAATCCCCCCGGCTCTTTTACCACTTTCTGTCTATATGTAATCATTCCAGCTTTAGCTGTCCATCATTGCTCTGCTCTGGCAGTCTGATACTGACATCGGTGTACCATGCCTGCTCAATGTGTGTCTGCACAGCCAATTTTAGTCTACTTCAGGGGCACATGTGACTGAGTGAGCACAAAATAGAGACATTTTTCATCCCATAAAAGAAAGGGCGTGAACAAGGATCCTTATGGCAGGATCATGGTAGAAAGCTGCAGGTTAAAGAAGATTGAAAGCTACTTTTAGAATCGCATTAACATGTTAAAGCTCATATAAGTTTGGAATTAGATCAGCTTTAAGCTGACTACTTTAAAGATGTGTGTATGCTGTAACGGGGTGCATTAAATATTCACGCTGTGTGGTATACAGAAAATAATTAATAAATATAAGCCCTAGTGAAAGGCTTGTTGAGTTGACACCCAAGGTAAATATGGAGAAATAGACACCTCCATGGAGAATCTAAGCAATACAAAGCATTTAGGTAATAGAACTGGAGCGATATAGACTGACCCCAATTGAAGGAATGTGTATCACTGCCTATGCAATGGTCCAATTGGGCTCCCAACTCTCTGGATAGTAGTTTAATTATTTATTTGTATTAACAGAAAAGCAATAACAATGCCCCTCTGTCACCCTAACTCTATTGCTGTCTTTTGCACTTATTTAATTTGCAATTTGACCCACTGCTATTGCTACTGAGTCATTGATAGCGTCCATACTTTCTCTCTCTGTCTGTGCCAGTCTTTGCCAACTGGTTTGTTTGCATCAGAGCTCCTTCTCTATGTACACCAGTCAATACGAATGCACAAGAAGCTTCAAATAGGTTGATGCAGCTTAGCAGGAGGTCAAATGTAGGTCAGAAGGAAGTTTAACAGCATGTCAAATTTACCTGCCAATGAATTATTAATGATCTTAGAAGTATCTCCAACTGATGTCAAATGCAGGCAGAATGCACCTGAAGGCAAGTTGCACATGTCCATTGACACAGGTCCTAAAGAAAAAAGAAGATATCCCTCAGAATATAAAAGTTACTGCTGTTAGCTGATATCATACCCCTCTGTGCCACCTGGAAAACTCCTTTTAAATTGTTCTACTTCTGGAAGCAGAGTAAAATGCATATTCCCTGCACACATCTTAAAGAAAATGCCTGAGGCCAAGTGATCCATCAACAGGCCTGGTCATTGTCAGGTGAAGTAGGGGGCATGGAGTATGCCTATGGATAGACAGATAACATAGGTAATCGTGTATCCAGTTCAGGTGATCGGAATGCAGTGTTAGAGGGTTAGCATCAAAGAAAAGGTGTGGGTTGACAGCTTATAATGTTAGTCCTGCATGCTTGTCTTAGTTTATATCCTTTAAAGTAACCATAAGTTAAAGTAACCAAACACAATTGCTGCCCAAGCTTAAGGCTTGATCATATGTTAAATATGAAACATGACACTGCTGTCATGCTACTGAATACATCCCCTTTACATGGCATCATAGAAAAGGTTAGAAAGAGCACCAGGGAAGAAGGGAATCCATAAGGGAATGTTGAATTATGTTTTTTGTGGATGTCCAGGTCTCTTCAGATCAACCCATTCCGGGTCAGATATGAGGTTGAGGAAATCAATCTACTTATCTGTAACTTATAGTTTAGCAATAACATCCACTGATGGCTAAACATCAAGGCCCAGATATTGGAATTTCAATTTTTAACTGCAACGCCACAATGGTAGACTTAGGTATGAACCAGAATGCAACATCCATAGAAGGGAGCATCCACCCATGAACATCTGCCCAATACTACAATGTTGGTGTGGCCAACTTCACACGGGTACCTTGTGTGGTTCCTGCATTGACATCAAGGCCAAAGAAGTCCAACAAGGTCACTTTTAATGACCACTGTCATATAGTGCACTATACAGTATATGTTTATACTTAAAAGTGCTGATTTAGATTGCAATGTAGCCAGCCTGAATAAATATCATGCTGGAGATAAATAAGGCATTACCAATGCCCTTCTTTATAAACTTTTTTCATGTCTCTGGGCCTTTTATCGTAAAGAAATATGAAGAATGATTATTGTCAAGTCAACTCCAAAACCTTGTTTCCCTTAAAATATCAAACAGACAGCAATCTTCATACAAAAAGCACTAAATAATAGTATACTGTCTCCCACATAGGAAAGGATTTTAAGAAAACACTACTAGAGGTTTAACATTTGCATTAAAGATTTCATGGATTTCATGGATACAGAGAATGCCTTCCAGATACATAGGAAAGGATTTTAAGAAAACACTACTAGAGGTTTAACATTTGCATTAAAGATTTCATGGATACAGAGAATGCCTTCCAGATGACTGTAAAAGCGGATGGTAAATTAGGAACTGAATGTTCAAAGCAAAGCTATGTATTCACTGGAAATTCCCATTTGTGGCATGCAGTAAAAATCCAAATATATCACTAAAACGGGAACTGTGTTTCATATGTTATCTGTGGTGCACCCAGTTCAGGGAAATAAAAGTAATGATTAATGATGACTGTGGCGCATTGAATAGGCAGAGATCCATTTTGGATTGTTCATGGTCACTCCTTGGATATCCATGTCTTACATAAGGATCTAAAATTGAGTGATCAATGCCGACTTGCTACTAATTTTGAGATAAGTCTCTGTTTGCAGCAGAATGCTTTTCTAGTTCCGGATCTGAAATGTACGGCCTGTGGGGTTCAAATGTATTTTTAAACAATTTTCATGTTGAATAAAGGAGCCATTACCCTGTAAGGGAAATCAGCTAAACACTAAGCTGCAGATGACCATAGCCCTTTGTGCTTTTATTTAAATCCCTATTCGCACTCATCCTGTTGTATTGCAGCAGTGTTTTCAAACTGTGGGACACTTACCAATGGTGGCTTACAAGTGGTACTTGCTCTGGTTGGGATATGGCAGAAATTGGCATTTAAAAGAAAGACCAGTCCAAAAAAGAAAAATAGTTCTCATTCAAATTTTTTAAAAACGAAGTCAGATAGCTTTAATAAGAGGAAGTATATCCCCAGTATGAGAACGATTCAGTCTAGTGGTAGTGGCCAGGCAATGGAGGTTGCATGGTGATTTCAACTGCAGGCTATGTTCTGTATCTGAACATTTTGTAGAGAGCAGTCTCTTGATTTACATGCTTTTTTATTAAATAATTATGTCCAAGGCAAGAGTGATATTCACTGTAGGTTTAGGAGCTAAGAAAAAGAAACTGAGATTCTAACTGCAGGTAAACACATATTAAACACGTAGTCACCACTGTTCCAACAAGTGTTGCTTATAGTATATAAAGACTCTGACTATGCTGGAGTACAGGTGGCACATTAACATGGCAAAACTTGTCATGGCTCTAAACAACTGACTAATCTAGTAGCTGGACATGGATATGCTATGTGCTTTCCCTGTACTAACATATTAAGAAGCCTGGAACGCACAGAGCATAATAGATTTGGATCAGGGGTATTGTGTTCAGACAGAATTTCCAACATTTTCTCATCCCTAATGGCAAACATTTTGTATTTGTGGGAAAAGCATGTGAATGTTTTAAAGGTATGCAAAATAGCCAATATCATAGGCATGTGCCTAGGCCGGGTGTGCCTGGACACACCCTAATCACCTTAAGCGCAACACCACAACTGCAACCGTGGGAGCTGTGTTTTTAGTCACAAAGATCTCTCTTTGACCGGCTCAGCAATACAGAGGGCAGCAGCACTTGCCACTTACATTCTTCACATAACAGCTGCAGTCCTTGGTGCCTGGGAAGCTGCAAGGGTGCATTGTTATGGCTTCCCAGCCATTCAGGAAGTCGGGTGGGTGGTCAAATGACCTCTTGCCAGGCTTCCTGCTTCACTATTGCACCCCTGCTGGAACAGGTAAGGGACAGTTGAAGAGATTGGAATCCCGGATGCCTCAGGTCTGTGTATGTATGATACATATATAATTCACATCTGCCCCGGGTTATCAACTGCTTTAATTTTATGTGTCTTGTGTTTTACCTGCATTGCTTTTGAAATACACCAAATAGGCATGGGTCGTAAAAAGTTCAAAAATAGGGTCCATTTACACTTAACTGTTTTTTTGGCGATCATATAGGGTCACTGGAAACAGCTGCACTACATCCACTTAGTACTTGGCTGACCCAGAGGAATGGGTCCATCTGGCTTTGGCTAGGTGGACATACGTGCTCTGCCCCTGTCAGGAGCCTTGCGCCCCAAGGGAGCAGGTAAAGGGTCCTATCTCTTCAGGAGATGGGCCATTAAGACACACCCTAGTGTACTTTTTTGTGTATGTTCACATGCACTTTTTTTGTTCACTATGGTTAGTTTTTGTGCACAAAACAAATTGCAGTCATGGGGGCTCATTTACTAAAATGGAGAATATTCACACAATAAATTATGTGAATATTCTCTTCACTTATCCAATCATGTTAACGCACATGATATTGAAACAAATGGACCCTAAATGTATTTCTAAGTGTAACTTGTGTACGCACCTAAATTTCCCTTGCTATAATCCTCTTGTTTACTCTGTACATCAGGAGAGAAAAGGTTAGCATTTCAAGCTAATCAGGCTGTTTTGCAGTGCACAGGTACTAACATGGAGTATGCTGACAGGAGGAGAGAGCATGTACTGTTTTTGCTTTTTCATTGTCCAGGTGGCAAGCTGAGGTGTGTATTTTTGACCAAGCTATCCTGCTGCTGTATTGGAGGTTGACAACCCGGTTTTACTATCTACCAGGGCTTCTTGCTTGACCAGAATTACAAATGCTTTGGCATGTAGAACAGCACACTTTTCATCTAGGTATTTAGCCGCTTGCCTGGATTTCAGCTTTGGTGAAATCAGATAAAAAATTTGTAATGATTAAATAGACAATTATGCCAACGTCAGAGCAGCTGAATGTCGTTTCCAGGAAGGTACAAAGTCCATAGATAACATCTCTCTTAGAATATTTCATATGGCAGGCTTATGCATAGTTAGCAGGAGAATTTGCTGTAAATGCTTCCTTTTATTTTTATGTGAATAGATAACATACTTAGATATGCAAAGGGATGCATAGTTTTTAGCATGCATATATAATCATTGTTTCTTATCTATGTGTAAAATGCAAATATACACACCTGATCTCACGCATAAAGATGTATAGTATAACATTTTAAATAGTAGTATAAAATTATTAAAACTTTTTTTTATGTGAATAAGGCACATATTTTGTATATAAACCAGTGAAAAAGAACAGTCAGACATTGTGTAACTTATTGGGATGTTTATAAAAACAATAAGCACGTTTTCTGTATGTGAACCATTAAAAAAGAAAGCTAAGACCCTAAAGAATGAGGCCAATGTCATCTGAATGTCACATGATATCAACTGCTCATTCACATTTATTATAGTTTTTTAAGCAACAACTATCTACATTTACCCATAGCAACCAATCAGAGAGTAACACCCCCATATCCCCTGGTAAGTGAGCCTTTTGGACGTGGGAGCCAGAAAACACATTGGGCGCACTTTTCAGTATGGATTACATATTGTGTAGCGAATTTTGGGAGCACTTTAGAGAAGGAAAACAAAACTGTTTGCACACAGTTCTGGGTCCAGTTAAAATCTTCCTTATTCGTTCAAGTGAAAAAAACAGACATAGCAGTCCCACTAACATGTTTCAGTCAAAAGAGACCTTGATCATAGCAATATGATTAAAGTAATATTAAACTCTCAGACTTTTTTTCAATAACAAATCCAGGTCAAACAAATATACATTGCCCAGCATAGTATTTCTTTACATTTTTACCGAAGCACTTACAGTGATCATGTTTCCAACCAGCTCCAGCTCTCTTAGCTTGGTTACCCTGAACTTTCTCTTCAATAGAAGACAAGAGAGCAGTCTCCAGCAGCTGTCCATCTACTAGCTTGGAGAAGTAAGGAGCGGAGACAGGGGCGATGGCTTACATTGCAGTGTCTGTGTGTTTGTGGAGACACACACAGCATACACAAGGGTGGCTCCATAGGACCTTACAAGGGAATGGAGTCACCCTAAAACAGGAGATCAGGGCCAGTTCTCAGGGAACCAGCTGATTCCGCAGGAAGCTAAAATTTGTAAACATCAAATAACAGCATCCACTGTAATTGATTTTATCAGCATTTGAAATAGCTTAAAAACCTTTTGACTTTAATATCACTTTAAGGCCTCTTAGGCTGAAGTGCGTGTAAAAACACTCTTTTCTACTGTTTATGACGAAGGGCTGGTGGAAGCCTCGGTTGTGCACTGGTGTTCTGTGGAACTGCATTGGATGAAAGAGGTAGAGCATCTCTGTGTGTCTTGTGAACTTTAGAGAAGGGGTTTGAAATATTTAGATAATATAGGTATGTATTGGGCAGAACAGTGGAGTAGCGGTTAATGTGTGGGTTTCCTGCATGTACTCTGGTTTCCTCCCAAACGCCAAAGACATCCTAGAGGTTAATTGGCTCATGTCTAAATTAGCCCTTGTATGTATGCATGTGCGATAGGGACCTTGAATTGTCCCTTGGGGGCAGGGACTCATGTGAATGTCCACTATGTAAAGTGCTATGTAAATTGCTGGCGCTATGTAAATACCTGCAATAAAATTTAAATAAATAATAATAAAGAATGCATGGAGAAACAGCTCCTTTTATGAAAATGTTGGACTATTTTGCAAATGTATGTGTATATCCCATATGTATTTTTTAGGCACACAAAATTGTTTATGTTAAGATTTACATATAGCTCTGTTTGTGGATTTAATAATGTAAAATTTTAATTGTGGATACGATCCTCAAGTACTGTTTCATTTTGTCTTTTCAGGTATACCTCTTCAGTGAAATATGACTCTGAGAAGCACTTCATTGATAACATCTACATGCCGGTGGGCCTGGGTGTCTCCTCGTGCAGTCAAACAGTCATCTGCATTCCCAACTGTACATGGCGCAGTTACAGAGCCGAAGTTCACTTTCAGCCCAGGAACAAGCCGCAGAGATACATGAGCACCACCATAGTTTATCCAAAGCACACAAAAACAGTCTACACTACCACCCTGGATTACAACTGCAAGAAATGCATGAGGCGCTTTCTGTCCAGTGTGGAGCTGGAGGCGGCTGAACATGTGGGGAACGAGTGCTTTGTGGATGAATACTGAATGCTTATGTGTCTACCTCCATACTGTCCAAGACTATAAATATGGAGCACTTTGAGCAACATAATATTAAATGACACATTGCAAAAGCAAGCTTTCAGTAAGAAAATGGAAAGCTGCAAGATATGAGATTCATTGTAGGCAATATGTTTCATCAGTAAACTGGTAGTGACACTTTTTTTAACCTATAGAAGATGGCTCAAAAATCATGTGCATTGGACAGCAATGTGACTCCAAATAACAGATTATACTCCAGTCTTACAAAAAACCTACGGGTATCATAGAGAGCACTAAAATACTTCCTTGTATTGTATATTGGAGTCTAGACAAGAAGCTATTATAATCTATGTCTTCCTTATAAAGCAATCATTGCATTATTTTACCCTATGCAATAACAGAATCAGAGTTTGTACAACTGGAGGTCCTTGAGCTGGTTTTCCATCACCTCCATTACTTCTGAACAAATTACATCAATATTTTTAACCTGTGTACGGTCTGTCCATGAAAAATGATCACAGCTCAACTAATAACGGTGTCCCCAAGGTACCACTTCTGGACATTTTATCTCAGATACAATAAACTTGGGTATTGAGTAAAACTGGTTATCTGGAGGCTAAGCTGGGTTGAACAGACAATAAAAGACTAAGAGGGGAAACTAAATCATTTTTGATGTGATAACTAAACATGCATTACTTTCCCTGCACCATTTTGTATTCTAAATAAATATAATACAATTTCATGTCATTGTGAATGTATTAGCATTCAAAAGAGAAAGCATAAAAAGGAGTATAGGGTACAAAGGGTAGGCAGGGTACATAGTTCTCAAAAGAAAAGTAGCTGACATGGGTGAATATTAATTGTTTTGTAATGAGACTTTAAACTGCTGACCTTTAGTATAATGGTAATATACAGGTACTAAACAAGAAATGCATTGGAATACAGGTTGGACAATACTCTGCCTTTTAACTGGAGATCAAGATCAGACTGGGAGGTTATAATCTAGAATACACATTTGAACGATAGTATATGTCAAATCTAAAATGTTTTTTTTTCTAGTTTTGGATAGACTGGAAAAAAATCAGAACCCCTGTCAGGATTTGACTGCTATCTGGAGCTCAGTTAGTAAGATTTCCTCTTCTGGTTTCACCAGACAGGAAGTGAGGACAAATCTGTAATAGGGACACAGAGAGAAATGAAAATCTATCTAAAAGTTAAGTTATAGCACACAGGAAAAAAAAAAAAACTTTATAAAAAAGAAACACTATATCTATACAAAAACAATTAAAAAAAGAGGATGATAAATATATATA